GGGGGTGCATTGGGGGGTGCTCCAAGAGCGACAAAGGGGCTGACGAAAGGGCTGTTGATGGACTGTATGTGCGCAGGAAAAATGGCTCTCGCGAAGGTGGTAATTGCGCAGCTCAAGAGGCATGAAGAAGGGGCATAGGCACCGGGAAGGACGTGAAGAAGGGGCACAGGCCTGATAACACCCCCCCCCACACACACAAAAAAAAAAAATACAAATTGATGTGCGCAGCATGCGCACCAATGCGCTCGCCCTGCGCGCCCCCCAGTGCACTGGCGCACAGCGCGTTGAAGTGCCGCACAGCGCACCGCGCATAGCGCATCCCGCATCAGTGCGCGCACCGCCGGGGAACGCGCAGCGCACCGCGCGCTGCAGCGCATTGCGCACCGCATAGGTGCGCCGCAACTATGGTGTGTTCCTGTCGGCTGTAGTTTCTTGTGTTGTCGTACTCTAGTGGCTGGTATGTTTGAGTAGTGTCTGCTAAGGGCTCTCTAATGGTCTATTCTGAGTGCATGTTGACTTCTAGGGATTCAGGGATACTATTAGTTGAGTGGTCTTGAGAATGTTGATTTGGAGGTGTTTCCTCCCACTATCGGAATACTATGTTTGGGCCTCGGATGAGTTTGGCTAAAAAAATATTTTCGAAGTTGTGTTGATGTTCCTTAGCTTTGTCTTCCTCTTCCCTCTTCTTCCTTCTTACCTTGTGCCATAGGACCCAGTATTCGGTTTCTCCTTGTTGTTGGATTAATTCCCATGCTTCTTGGGTGTGCATTTTTTGCCTTTCTATGGTTTCCTGACATCTTTTCCTCCATATCGCCCATAATGCAGCTTTTTTAAGTATTCTGAAGAGATTGGATTCTAGTGGGCTCCATTTCGCAGCCAGGAGGCTGCGCTTCTGTGGGTTCCATTTTCATCGTTTCATTTGTTTCTATTTTCGGTAAGGTCGTGCAGTACAACTTCGCTAGGACGGGTTTGTTTGGAGTCTCCGACAGCAGAAAATAGGGTCCGGTCGCAGTCGTCCCTAAGACTGGTCGTAGGGCAGGTTATTGTGGCATACTGCGTAGCCACATGGGCCCTGCAGGGCCCGTCCCGGACATTCAGCCTAAAAGCCTAGAACTTAGGGCTTACAGGCCCCGTTCGTTTCAGCCTGGAAGCTGAAAAACGAGGGCCTGCAGGCCCTACCCCGTTTCAGCCTATTTCTGGGTCTTTTCAGACCCAGAGTTTTCAGCCTGAAACGGAGGGCCATTTTCAGGCCCTCATTGTTTCGACCTGCCCCTAAGACTCAGGCACGTAAACAGGGAT